GTCAAGTCAAGAGTCCAGGTAATCGCTGTATTCAACAGGAGGTTGAACTAAGGAATACATGGGTTTTCCTACAGTATATATAGTAACTGGTATAGGGGTTAATACCCAAAGGAGAGAACAATAAGAAAGGACGCGTAAGCCATCCTGTGAGAACGTAACTCAGAGAAATGAGGAATACAAGGGCGCCTATTGGTAGAAGGTGAGTCAAGGGAGATAACGTGTGAGAAGAAGATAGCGTCCGTGGGAAGGTCTACTCAGAGAAAGGTACGGTCCAATAGCAATGCTCGGAATGGAAATGGAATGAGATAAGCATGGGAAAATCATAACAATCATTGGACCAGTAGTGAATAACTATTCACTTCCCGTCCCTTTTATGCACTGGGGACCTTGTGGCTACCCTATACCTTCGGCAATGTTTCTCTGTAATGATAAATGTCTGTAGATGCCATGTTCAAGTTTGTATGTGGAACAGAGGAGTGGTCATCGTTCAGGATTTAAAACTGTCTTGCATCTCCGAGGTCTAAGCGTGACAGAGCGTGACCGCTGCCCCGCCACAGCCCTATTGTGACACGTGTGACATCTTATTCACTTCCCGTCCCCTTACGCCGTACAACCTCTACACCCTCTGGAAAAATCTGAGAAATTTGCAGAGGGTGTAGAATAGTATCTGAACCATTCACACCAATTTTGGGGTACGCGCAATTAGAGGAAGATGACTTAACTAGGGAACAGTTCAAATCATTCACTACTGGTCCAATGATAGTATTCATAAATGGTAGGTGGCCCGATCTAAATCTTACCGCCACCAACAAATAGGAACTACAGTGTCGGTCACTAAGGATCGGCGCCTCCATAGCGCCTTAATTAGGGCGCCGCAGACCTCCAGAAAAAAAATTGAAACATAAACCTGGCCAAAATATGCGTAATCCTGCAATTTCGATTTTTTATGGATTACGTAAGCGTTCACTTTTAGGGGTGGAAATATCAATATTACGGATTTCGCTGAGGGAATGATCCTGGAGTTGACTGGTGTATCACAAGCATCGAAAGGTGAGGTATCCTCACTCACAGAAGTCCCAGTGCCCCTTCAAGGTGACCTTACTCCAGAAATAGTGCTGTATGAGGGCGTATTATATGATTCTAGATCTCCACAAGTCAGCTCATCATGCCCTCAAGCTTACCTGACACTCTCAGTTTGCTCTCAGTATCAAGAACTGTGTAACGAGAATGGGACCTGACATAGGGGTAGTAGACCCATTATGGGTTAACTGCATTAGGGTTAGGGTGTATTACTAATTACAGCCATCAATGCATATCTATATATAGTAACTCCGACGCAACTCCGCTTCAAATTCACTTTTCAGGTATGTCGAAATTTTAAATATCGGAATTTCGAGAAAGTAATCAGATAGCCTGAAAGCTACGGGCAATCCGAGTCGATTGGCGCTGTTTTCAGGCTCATTGGAGTCTTTGCCCGGGACGAGATACCATCACGCGTTCGGCTATGCCCGAGGCATCGGTTTTGAGCGACCGACACTGTATTACCCCTTATGTCGGGGATTACTGTTTGTGTGATAGAAATTAATTCCAAATATGTAGGGTGGCACTGTCAGGCATTCCCCGGCTGTCTGTGGAATTGCGCCAATGGCAAGCATCCTGTTGCCTACGGTACAAGCTATGACAGTGTTGAAAACAGTACACTGACTCTACAGTAACACTGATCGAGGGTGGCGGAATGCCACCCTAGGGCGGCAAAGAAGGCACTTATTATCTATTCCTCAGATATATGTAACTGTAAAGCTTGACACCAAGTATCTGATGGATCGAAGACTCTGACCACACCGGCAGACCACTAACTTGAGAGTTAGAAGTTGATATCATTCAGTATCATTCAGGTCAAGATGAAATAACTATGGGCATTGTTGATGCCGTGCAGCGCCCGGGGAGCAAGAAAGATTATTTTCCTGCTTGTAGAGTCCCTGCCGTTGGTTTACCATAGACTTTTACATGTTAGGAATCGGACCTGGCGTGCCGCGCAGCGCCGAATACCTCCCAAGTGCTCCTATTACATTTCGAGTAATTTGGGCTGTAAGTGGTATAACCCCTGTTAAGCGCTCGCTTTCTCGATCACCAGAGAGCCCTATACAACTACTGATTCTAGAGGAATCGGAACTTCTGCAGAATCTGGATTCTGGGAGAATTTGACCTGCCCAGAATCCGCCAGAATCTGGATGTGTGTTTGGGACTGAACGGCCTATTCGCGCCTTCCATCCCGGCATATGTCTAACCTGCACAGCAACGGCACAGCTGGATGCAATGCTCTTGTTTATTCCGCTAATTAGCAGTACATTTGTAAAGTTCATTTATCCAAGTTAATGTTGTACATCCCCAGGTACTTCATTATCTTCACAACATTTCCTTTAGTGTTAAATTACGCCATAGTGCATCATGACTGCGCGATACTCATCAGACTCCCGACAAATGTCATAATCTGCGGGGCAAATGCACGTTCAGCCGGCAAACACAGAAGTATGTGACCAAACCCGCACTTACCAGCCTTGGCCTTACATCCACGATATCCTCGGGCACCAAGAATATCAATGCATTCATCTTTCTCGCAATCGAAATCGCCAACTTCGCATTCTGCCTCCTATCCTCATAATCCCCGCTCTCGCTCACATTAATCACCATCGTCGGGTCCACAATGCCGGGCTTGATGCCCTCGAGCAAGTCCAAGAAGAAGATCCCCGTCGTCAGACTTGGGTCCTTGAACGAGCGGATCTGCTTGGCCGTCGGCTTCGCCTTCTGCGCCGTCGTGTTCGCCCACTTGAGCATCTCCGTGTCGCTGATCGGCCGACCCTGACCCGTCTTGCTCAGCGACGTGAGCGTCTTCGTGATGCTCATCCTACACCACCTTCATCAACCAAACACCCTACTCTCAGAAAATCAGATATACGCACCTCATAAGCTGCCAGACGAGCCCCAGCACAAGCGTCTTCCGCCCGTCCACGATATCCGCGCCCTGGATGCCCACAAGGTGCATCCCGTTCTGCTTCGCGAGCTCCACTGCATAATTCGTATTCTCCACACACTTGAACCGGCTCAGCGTCGGCTGGTTCGGCGTGATCCCCAGCTCTACCTCCTCTTCATCGTCCTGCACAGGCGCCTGATAACTCGCGCGCTGCCCGCCGCCCTCCTTCGGTTTGCTCACGCGGCGCCACACGACCGAGCCCGGCAGGATCTTGTCGAACGCCTGCAGGATGACGAGCCCGTCCTTGAGGTTCTCGAACAGGTTGAACACCGCCGGCTCGACGTTCAGGCTGTTCAGCCAGAGCGTGAACACGCGCGCCTCGCGCTCGCCCTCGGCGTCGAAGTCCTCGACGACGCCGTAGTCCTTGGCTTCCTGCTCGTCGAGTGGCTCGAGCCCCGGATGGTTGTTGAACAGGTTGGCGACGAAGGCGAGGTTCAGCCGTGGGTTGCCGGAGATGAGCGAGGCCGGGGTGAGGTACTTGCGGCAGCCGATGTTGGCGGCGTTTTGCAAGACCTGCAAGGTGTTAGACTACTATGATAGAGGAGGTGTGGACACCACGTACTTGCTCTGCGCGCGTCTTGAGGTCGCGCGTTTGAAGGGGATCGAGGGAACAATCGTTGGGCTTGAGCTGGTGCAAGAGGACCGTGTAATTCTCGCCATCGGAGACGTCCTTGCTAAAGTTGTTGACTCTGCGCAGACTGTCAGGTGTTGTCTTGTTACCATTGACAGACCTGCGCACCTCCGCTTCCACCCTGCCTGCTTGAGATGATAATTAAACCACCTCAACAATATCTGGTCGGGGGTCAACTTCAAGAGATCCTCCACTGTCTCGCCCTCCTCGCAAAGGCGGTACAGCTCAGGATGCAGCTTGATGTCTACGTTACTTAGCAAGCCCCGCCTGATGATTTGCCAAATGAGCCCGAGGATGAGATGTTCACGGCCCTCTGCGATATCGGACGAGCCGATATTGACAACGGAGCAGCCGATGGCCTTGGCAGAAGTGATGACGATATTGTTGTTCTCTGTGATCTGGAAGGCGTTGAGGGGTTTGCGGGGCGTGGGCTTGTTGAGGACACGCATGTCGATGGTGTCAGGGACGGAGTCGTTGATGAGCTTGCAGAGGATCAGGCCGTCGCGGCATTCGTCGAAGAGCTGCATGGTGTGTGTGGGGATGGGGATGCGCCCGCCGACGTCAGGGTCGTTCTCCAGGACCTGTGAAAGAGGTTAGATGCGACACCATAACTCAGTAAACGGGGACGGGCACGCACGGCGTTGATGTGGTTCGTGAACTCGCGCCGCTCATCTTCGTTGATGGTATGGCTGACATTCGCGTTGGACCCCTGCACAGTAACCTTACCGGCTCTGGTGGGGAGCACATTCTGCTGTCTTTGCGAACGTAACTTGACATTCAACTGAAAGAGAGTATGAGATCCCCGGGATCCAGCCGAGACTGCAAGGCATGCTCACCTCGACCCAGTCCTCGAGCTCGACCTTCCCGCTCGCGTCCACGCTGACATGCTTTAGCGTTTCTCGTGCTCTGTCATACGACTCGCCCTGCGCCTCCAATGCATGTAACACGGCCGATTTGTCTACTCGGCCGGGCGAGTCTGTATCAATTGCACTGCGAGACCAGTCAATCCACCGCTGATTCCCTCTGATTGACTGCGAAACTCACTTGAAGCGGTTAATGAGGTCAAACATCTCATCCTGGCTGACCTCTGGGTACTTTTTCTGGAGACGGATGGCCTGCATGGCGGGCGGTGGCTGCTGCTTGTGCAGTAAAGGGGGCAGACTTAGACTCTGGCTTTGGCTCGCAGTCGCAGTCCGCCGGTGCGTCACGCTTCCCACACTGCCATATCCGGAAGGAGGGGGGGAGTAGCGCATTCGACCCGGCGTTGTCACCATCTCGCTCTCTGTCGCCGCTGTCGTCTACGCTGCTGAAGCTGGAAGGGGGCCTTGATATCCTCTGGCTCTGCTTTAATAGCGGGGAAACCTTGGTCCCCTGGCCTGCACTGTGCACTGCGAGCAGCTGCGCACAGTGCAGGCTGCGGACGCGCTGCATCCTCAAGGCCTCACGCGACAAAGCTCACAACTCATCTATGTCACGGTTGCTGCACTCCCAACTCGCATCGGACCGGATGGCGCAATAAGCGGCTCCTGACTCTGGGAACGTTCTCTCGGGGCCTCTAGGATGCTTCAAGTGCCTGCCTATATTCTCTAGAATCAGCCGAGTCAGACAGTATCAGCGAGGCCTATCATTTCTTACGGTCTCGCTCGACGTCGTATGCTGCGCCCTTGAAATGACGTAGATCGGCCTGCAGCACGCAGGTCTTGATTAAATCAGGTAAGCTTTTCTGGCTTCCTCACGGACTCGCGGCCTATCTCACGCATCTTCTTACCCCTTTATAAAGTTCACGCATCTATCTATGTCCTTATATTCACAATATTGCTGCATTAGAACCTGATCATTCGCATCGCGATAAATACGTCCCTGCACTTCGCATGCTATGCCGACTCGGAAAGCCCACAAGGAGGAAGCGTTCACACCCTGCGGTCCATCAGTTCACGAAATACTCCCTGCCCTCGGTCGACTAGTCTTCTGATTCCCATGCCGTCCCATAGACCTATCACTTTAATAACCATGACCCACTTCTTTTATCGGGGAGCATACGATAAATACAAACCCTTGACCTCACTAGCCCTCCCTATCAGCCCGCCCCTCGCTCACAGACCCAGCCCAGTCGAAAATGACGCTCAAAACCCTCCTCTCCCTCCGCGAAATCATCGACTCATCCATCGACCACCTCCAGTCCCATTATGCCTCCAAGAATCTCGACCTCCCGGATCTCAATGAGCCATATAGCACTTCCCCCTCCGAGGCTGCCCTCGGCGACCCCGAGATCGTCGAGACGCTGAACGCGCTCGTCGGCGCGAGCTACCAGCTCATCGCGACCGTGCGCACACCGTTTATCCACGTCATGGACGGCATCTTTGCTGTGAGTGTCTCTTTGCGATGATGCAGGGCCTGGTCATGATGGCGGAGGGCAGTACACACTTAGCTCATGCATACGAGTCGCGGAGGAAGGCAATGTCGCGGAGATACTCCGCGAAGCTGGGCCAAGCGGGCTGCACGTCAACGACATCGCCGCCCAGAACGGGCTGGAGCCTACGAAACTCGGTGCGTCGAGCGGTAGCCGCTTCTACTCCCCCCGCTGAGCCCATCCAGCCCGTGTGATGCGCCTCCTGGCGAGCCATCACATCTTCCGCGAAGTCAAGCCGAACGTCTTCGCCTCGAACCGCATCTCGTCGTACATCGACACTGGAAAGCCCGCGTCCTATCTCTTCTCGCCGTGCGTTCCTCGTCTCATCTCCTAGTCTCGCATTTGCAAACCCTACTACCACCCTCAGGAATGCAGACAAATACAGCGGAACGTCTGGCGTTGCAGGCTTCATCGACCATGTGTATGTTCGTCCCTCTTTCTATCCATCTTACCATAACCTCGCATCTCAGGACGGACGAAGTAATGAAAGCGAACTCGCACTTGTGGGAAACCATGTCTTCTCCAGAAAAGGGCCACTCCTTCTCGGCGGTCCACGCGCCCCTGCAAGAATGGTCCGGGACCGACAAGCAGTTCTTCTGGTGGATCGAGCTGCCCGGAAACGAGCGCCGCTTGCTGCGGTACAGCGCCGCGATGCGTGCCACGAGCTTGTGGAATAGTCCTGATGCGATTCTCCATGGTTCGCTTTCCTCCTCTTTGTGGCCGAGTCCTCGGTGCTGACGAATGTGAAGGGTTCGACTGGGCAGGGCTGACGCCCGAGGACGTGGTGGTGGATGTCGGCGGCGGGACGGGCATGCCTGCGATGTACGTGGCACGTGCGCACCCGCATGTGAAGATCGTTATTCAGGAGCGAGAGCAGGTGTGTGAGCACGGCATTGCTGTGGGTACCTTTCCTTTCCCTTTGTCAACCCGTGCCCTGATTCAAGACGCCTTGTAGTACTGGAATGAAGTCTTCCCGGAAGCGATCAAGTCAGGGCGGGTACAGTTCCAGCGTGAGTGTCGATGCGTCCCGCCGCTCTAATGCCTGTGCTGAGGGGATTCACATCGCAGCACACGAGTTCTTCCAACCGCAACCCACGCTGCCGACGAACACGCCCGCCTCAGTGTATCTGCTTCGCACGGTCCTCCACGACTGGCCCGACCACGAGTGCATCCGCATCCTGCAGAACCTGCGTGCCGCTGCTGCGCCCAAGACGAAGCTGCTCATCGGTTCGTCCATTCTTTCCCTTGCTAAGGTCGTCGCGGTGGGACTGAGGCGTATTATACAGGTGACTTCATGATCCCGTACGCGTGCCCGGACGACTCCGTCGCGGCGCGTACCATTCCGGGTGCGAAGACCGCGACGGCGCCCTCGCCCCTACTCGCGAACTTCGGGAAGGGGAGCGCGACGACGTATGCATTGGACATGGCTGTGCGTTTTCTTCCCTGTCTATACTACACATCGAAGTTGACTCTTCGCGATGCTAGATGTTCACGAACTTCAACGGGCAAGAGCGGACGCTCGCGCACCTGGCGGATTTATGCCAGAAGACGGGGTGGAAGCCCGTGCAGGCGCATCGCAGGGACGACACGCCGTTCGGGTTCTTGGTCTCTGAGCCGATTCCAGTGTAAGATTCGAGGGCGTCAGATCAGGTTGAAAGGGGATTGTTAGATCGCCCTCAACGGGTGGAGACTTCTATGTATTATTATGTGGTTCGCAATAGGGGCCCTCAACGGGTATTTTACAATGTCTCGATGTAGACATTATGACGATCAGTATAGCAGTTCAGATTCAGCCTCCGGGTGGCCTTCCAGGACAATGGATACGGGGCAGCAGTGTTAGAGTTGCCGCAACACCAGCGCCATGGTCTGGGCGAGCGTGTATCAGAACAGGGCAAGGCAGGACCGACAAAGCAGATACGCATTGGATGCATTCATACAGCAGAGAAATTACACGGGATGTGATACATGCTTCATGGACCCTATGGTAACCCTCGCCCCGAGTTGATTGCATTTGCAACCTGACTCGTATTCGGGCGATTCCATGCATACCTGCATATTGAACTGTCAACAACAAATCTATCAGCGAGTGCAGCGGTGATTACCTCTCGTAACTGTCAAGGTACAAATCCTCGGTGCTGCAAGTTCGCTTGAAAACGGGGTGGTTGAACAGCCTGTCGAGGTAGGCGCGAAACTTGAGTCCCTCCGGGAGAGTGAAGAAGCGGTAGTGGGCTAGAACGTTAGAAGCCCGGAACAACCCTGGAAGTACATATCAGACAGAGCGCGCAATTCAGTCAAAGAGGTGCATTCGACGTACAAGGCCCCGCCATGACGTCCGTCCAGCTGAGGTCACCGTCCTCCCTCCACAGCCCGAGGGCAGCAGACACGCCCTCGCATTCAGCACGACCGAAGTGGGCGGCGAGGTCTTCGAGGGCGGCGTGGAATTCCTGCCCGGCGGAGATTTGTGAATCTGGGTCTTGGGCCTGGAGGAAGCGGTAGAAGGCGGGGACGAGGGTGCGGTTGATGTGATCCGATTGAAGGCGGATGAGTGCGCGTGCATCTGCATGGATGAGGTTAGGTGAGTGGTAGGGAAGGGGGATTAATTTGAAGAGAGCCTACAGGAGTCAGTGATGGGGGGAAGGAGTGCGTGTTTGGTCGTGTTCGCTGCCAGACTGGGTGCGGTTTCAGGGTTAGTGAGGAACGACTGGACAGAGAGGACTCACTCTTCGAGGTATTCCATGATGACAGTGCTCTCGCTCAGCCCGCGCGGGGGGTGGAAAGTGTGGAGCTTCAGCCCGGGGACAAGACCCTTGGGAGAGACCTCGAGGAGCTCTTGCGGTTTCTTGTACGGGTCAACTTCATCTGTGGACGTAGCTCAGACGTAGGTCCATTCATGAACGAAGGTTGCGAACAGTACTATGGAATGTTCACTACGCGTTTGTCGGATCATGTCGTCTGCACTTACACGGTACGGAATGCCCAGGTACTCAAGCGCGACCCATGCTCGCTGGACGAACGGGCAGAAACATGCGCCGTAAAATGTGATGTCTGCCGGCTCGGAGTGTTGCTTGACGGTCTCCAGAGCGAGGCCGGTGCATTCGGTGCGGTAGTGCTTCCCGGTGTCCTTTGCGGTCGACATGGTGGTTCAGGAAAGGGCTTCGAACAACCTTGACCACATCCCAATTTGGCGACTTTGTTCTTGACTCATGCCTTTGATATCATGTCCTTTGTTGTGAAGAGAAGCCTAAGGGCTTTGAAGTTGACGACTGCGACGCCTTGTCCCAAATCTTTCCGCAGAACTAAGCCAGCTGATGTCCTTTGTTATCATTTCCAGGTACTGTCAGTCTCCAGAGGTAAAAGCGACATTGTATAACGAGTGTCTAAGGAGTAGTAGGATGGTAAATAGAAAGGTGAGCATACGTCGTCGTACATCGTTGTCGAAAGCATTGTAGTCTAGCTCTCCAATACTCCCATTCCGTCTCCAGTGCGAGCCAAGATCGAGGTACGGCTACTTGCGTTTAGCGGGGCTCCTGAGGTTCTTGCCGCAGCAGCGGCGACGGAACTCACGAGCCATCTCTTCCTCAATTTGCTTCTGGAAACCTGGTGCGAGCCTATAGTTTTGACGTGCATTGACGTTTCCGGGACGAACTCCAGCCCTGTGGTCGACAATCTCGGTGTCCGTCCGCCCCAGCGGCTGTGCGCCCCTTGAGGCACTAGGGCGAGAGGGCCCTGGCGTAGGCGACCGGGCCTCATCAATGTTGTTATGGTTCGAGCCAGTCGAGTCAGAACGATCTTGCTGAGGAGCGTCGAGCCCTGCCTCAGAGCGTCTTGCTCCATCAAGAGGAACAACCCGTCCGTCTTCATCCAACCCCCGCCCTACCTCTCGAAGGCCCACCATAATATGGTTCGTCAAGTCATCCGGGTGCATATCGTGCTCGTTCACCTCCTCGCCATTTATCGTCGTATCGTCGTCTTCCTCGTCAGACAGAACCATAAACTCCCCGTCTGAAGTCGAGGACGCCTCAGACGCGGCGTCAGGATCCGCTAACGCCCTCAGGCTCATGTCCCCGTCTATATGACGCGGCTGCGGCGGCACCGCGCCATTGTAGATCCAACGCAGGCGGAAGCCCTGGCCATTTTCGGTGAGCGTGACCATGATATTGTCCGCGTCCGCACGGTAGGCATCCACGAGTCTGCGTGCCAGTTGGTAGAGCTCAGCGAGCGGGACCCCAGGGGCGTCAGGGTGTGCGCTCCAACGGATGTGGAAATTGTCCCCGTTCTCGGCGACGGAGACGCGCGTCTCGGTGTCGGCGATGGCGCGCTGGTTGTAGACGAGAGCCTCGACTTGCTTGAACAATTTAGCGATGGTGGGCATGGTTGAAGTGAGTAGTGAGTGGTAGGCGTGGGATGTGGCTGGCGGATGTGATGAGGACGAGTGGGCTCGGTAGGCGCAGTGTTGGGACTTCGTCGTTAATCTGGCACGCCTTATATAGTCTCGCAGCCTGGCGATGTGTGGCAGAGGAAGTGGATGGACTTGGCTGCAGGACTCTTTGGATTGAGTTGCGCTTCTTTCCAGGTCCTGTTCCGGCATCGATACCACGGCTTACGTTTGGATATTTGACAGGGTCCCCCTGCCGGACGCTTTTCGCCCCTTTGCAACAATTCAATGGCCACTGGCGCGTCCTGTCAAGGGTCTAAGAGGCTGTGCCACATTCAAGAACACCAAGGAGAGCTGCCGGGTCAAAAGTGAGTTCGTGCCACTCAAGACGGCGTAGGTCTATCCGTATCAGCCTCCTTGTTCCGGACACAGGAATATCACAGGAGACACGTTGTACCAGACGCACGGACGCATTGCCCTGTCTCAGCGGCCATCCAATATTATCGATCTGATCTGCCAAACGAAGCGTGGCCACAGTCAACGGAGGTCGAGGACCGAGTAACACGCCGGAGTCAAGGTAAGTACGCGGGTGTGCCACCGCGCTTTGCCGGTGTGGGTCCCGCTTTCCTTTGTTCTCGATATGGCTATCGCCCGTTGTCGCGTCAACCATCGATAACCGTGGCTGGTATCGAATCTGATGACCCTAGACTTCCGTCACGTGAGGGCATGTTCAAAAGCTTGAGCTATCGCTTCCTCCGCGCCTTATCCTCAACCACATCCTCGACCCGCGCACTGCAAGTCTTCGTGCCCTCGCCTACCCTCCGCACGTCTACTCCTGGCCCTCCGCCCCATCCCCACCCTCAACCAGGCGTTCTCCACGTTTTATAACGCATTACTATGAATCTCGGCAGCATTTTCAAGGCTTTCTCGCCATCGAAGAAGTCTAAGGCTAGTCCGCTATTGGAGGACGCTGGCGTGCGGAAGAAATATCGGAAGACTACAACCAAGGGAAAGGGCAAGTCGGTGACGCAGGATTCGTCGTCGGCGAAACAGAGGGCGGCGCCGGAAGCTTCTCTTGCCGAGCGGGCAGGAAGATTGTCTTCTACCACCGCGGAGCCATCCAAGTTCGAGTTCTCCCCCGGCTCCGCGCCGCATACGCCCCCTCGCCCCTCCAATGCTGCGCCTCGAGTCCAGTCCGCCCAGCAGGCTGAGAACAGAGTGGACGCTGCTGGCCCTCCCACATCGCCTCTCAAGTCCCTCACGAAATCTGCTGGGAAGTCGGGCTCCGCTCGTCCTCTTCTGAGACCGAAGGAGCTGTCACCTCCACCCAAGGATGTGTTCGCTACCATGGCGGACTTATTGGAATCCCCTATTGTACACGCGGGGTCGCCGCCCATGATGCCGCCCTCGAGCAAGGGTCATATGCGTCTGTTTCAGCCGCCGGGCGGGCTGCTAAAGTACAAAATCGGGCGGCAGGTAGGCTCTAGCCAGGCGCAGTCTCCGTCTTCTCGGGCGAGTGCGGCGAAAATGTCTCCGGAGGGCCCATTGATGATGAAACCAATGCCCGTCAACGGCGCGATCCGCAACAAGGTACAGCGGAAAGAGTCGAAACCATACGCCTTACCGCAGACTCCCGCAACGCCATCGACGTCGTCTAGGGTACAAATCCCAGCCATTCCCGACGGGAGGCGCTCTCCTCCTTCTCCACGGACACGCCTTGGAAGGAAGGGAGACCTACCTTATGGCCACCAAGTCTTTACCCCGCTGCGGTCGGAGATCTTGCTTTCCAGGGAAAGAGCCCTCCAGCGTAAGCTGGAGATGCTCACGGACGATCTTGACTGGTCCTCACGCGTTCTTGATGAATCGAGCGCGTATGCGGCAGGCACTGCGAAGAGAGCAATACCTCACATTCGAGCGAGCCCTGATAAGCGATCCGGCGGCGAGGCTGCGCTCCCTGTCCCGAAGGTCCCGAAGTCTCGGAAAATGGAAGAGCGAGGGGTCCAGGTGGACACGGATCTGACAGAGCGCGCGAGCTACTCCAAGGCTATTCTCGGCAGGGAGGATGCGCTGAAGAGCTGGGTTCCCGGTCAGTGGCAGAGGTTCGTTCACGAGCAAAGGACAAAAGCGGAGGCCGATGGCACCCTCAAAGAGAAAACTAGGAAGATCATGGCTCGAGTGCAAGAGCAGAAGAGTAAATGGGACGTCCTGCTCGACCCTGCCAACAGCGAGATCTTGTATGTTGGCGCGCACGTCCCCTGGCCGCTGCTCGAAAACCCGAGTAAACTCTCTGCACTTTACGAGGTTGCGGTTTGGGAATACGTGTTGAATCCGTTTCGCACGGACACGGAACGTCTGTCACCCGCAGAGATTCTGCAGGCTGAGCGGGAGAAATGGGTCTCTGCTGACTGGATCGGCACCTTGCTCCCCAAATTCGACTCAAACGCTCATGAAACGCTGCTTTGCTTGATCAGTCGTCTGTTGCAGATTTTGGCTAATCTTGCTGGTATGACTCAGACGCAGGAAGGTTGAGTGATTTTCATGCCGCCTATGCTTATCCCTCATACGCACCATATTATGCTGTACTCTATGCCCGTCTCTACCCTCCTCTGTAACCCACGTATGCCTTCCCTTCCAATAGATTTTATGCCACAAGTCAAGTTGAATTTCTTTCAGCCAATGACGGACAAGGCGCCGGGTAAACCTAACCATACGAACGACGTGGAATGCGCGTGCAGGAAAAGGAAATGTGTTCCCAGAAGAGGAACAAGACCCGATGCGCCAAATCTAGCAGCAGCACTCCTACCGCCACCTTGGGCGGGCGAGCACCCTCCGGGGCCCTTATACTCTTGTTTCCTACCACGACAGGATACATGGGCTCGCGATATTCGGCCCACGACTCTACGCTTTGATTCTCGACATCGACAGACGCCAGTTTCCTTATACGCTGCCGCGGAGTCTGGTAGAACGCGTGTAGGCGACACGAGGCTCGATCACCTCAGGGCCCATCCCGGTCGTCAGACTGTCCGCAGGACGAGGTCTCTTCTCTCCCTTGACCTCCTGCGGTTCAGAGACATATCTCTGTCTCGTTAGTCTTTCTTCCGTCTTCAGTCCTGATCGTGTCCTGGTTCTTACCAACGCTGTCCCCGTTATTGGTGTGGCGGTCTTGATCTATGGCGACCATCTCTGCTAGTCCTGTCTACACCTACCGTAGACCTCCCAATGTTGTCTCAAATCAGCCTGAGGAGCAATACTCGGAACTGGATAAGGAATGGATTGATGCACTCCGCGTCCGGATCAAGGAGGCTAAGGCCAGCATGGTGGCGGAGGCTGAGAGGGCGCTCCAGAATAAGTTGAATGAAGGTTTCGTCGATGAGGCGATGCGGCAGAGGCTACTGGATGAGCACGAGCGCTCCTTGAAGGATATCGATGAGCTCATGCTCGCACAATATCAGGAGGAAATCAACCGGGAAAGGGCGGAACGTCGATGGGCTGCTGGAGGTCAGGTCGATTCAGAATGGTCGGAAGCCTTGATCAAGGAGCAGCAAGCTATTTTGGATACCATCAAGAAGGAGAAGCAAGACGAACAACCGCAGGAGAGTAACGACTCTGCGTCAGATCTATCCAAGCATCTCACTTCTGTGGGTCTGAACGAGGCAATTCCGATGTCCACCATTGACTCCCAGCGCCGACACAGGCCTGCCCCTCCCCTAGATCGCGGTCCCAGAAACGACAGAGGTAAGTAAGCATCAAGCATGTCAGTTCTGGTTGACTCATGTAAATCCCGCGTACTGTGCAGATGAATATACTCCGTCACCCGACACCCACCGCCGCCCCAGACCTCCACCTCCCGCAGACTATGGCGTACGATACGGCAGAGGTGAGTAAGCGTCCTTACGACTGAATTGAGGTCTTCTAACGTAGTTCTCTTCACCGTGTAGACGAGCACGCTCCGCTACCGGATCCCAGCGTATTCGCGGAATCACCTCGTTACTCAATGTCAGACTCGCCTCGCCGATCGGATGTAGAGGGCGCTTATTACGGTGGGCGGGAACGTCGGGGTAGTGGACGCCGGTCAAGTTCCAGCTCGACCAAGATGTCTGTAGGGGAGTTCTGGCGGCCGCCTGTGACACAGGATGAGCAGCCGATGGCATCTAGGACGTATTCACAGCAGTCAATGAGCACAGAAGCGCTGCGGAGGCGTGATAGCGTGAGCAGTCTAGGAAGGTCGAACACCTACATGCCTCCTGGGAATGAAGTGTATAGTCCTTCCGATGCAGCAGCCCATGCTAGCTACAGGTCGCAGAAGGAAAGAGAGGAAGTCGCTGAGGCGGAGGTCCCATGGACAGACATCAATCGTCGCAATAAGGATAGGAGGAGCCAGGAAGTCCGGTTCTCCGCGGTCTCTTCGGATGGTAGGCCAACGCTTAACTATCCACCGCCGAGCGGACCATCTGCGTCACAGCAGGCATCGGGGACGCCGAACGGCCCGAGCGGCTCCGTCAGTCATAAGCCGATTGTGAATAAGAAGTCCTTCATTCGAGAGGATCCTGCCAACAGGCAGGTCAGTCCCAACTCCGGTAGCTGGACGACGCCAGCCCGGATACCGAGGGAGAACAGCGGGACATTCCCTTCTTCGGGTTCCTTCGAGGATCGTCAGTCCCTTCGCTCTGCGAACCCCCCGATGCAGTCGATGTACGGATCGCCCGCGGATAAGACTGGGTCGCCGTTCCAGTCCAATCTTTCTGCAAGCAGACCTTTGTCGAAGCAGACGTCATTCGTCATAGAAAATGCGCAGAACCCGGGTATGTCGAGGACCATGGCGTATTCTACGTTCTCGACGTCACCGCAGGACCCTCGTGTTCACTTCCCGTCGGCGCGCTCTCCGCCTGAGGACATGTCGCGCAGCTGGCAGCGACCAAGTATGCGCAGTCAGCCTTCGATACCCGAACTTCGGCCGGCTCCTGACGACACTGCACATTCCTTCCAGGGGACAAAGCCTATTCCGGTGCGCTCGCCAGCACCTCGAGCATCTCCGTATGAGCCGAACAGCTCCATATATGGCGCTCGGTCAAGATCAATCCTGGACTTTGACGATGCGTCGCCCTCCTCCGATCCTGATGTAGAGTACTTCCCACCGCGGGACGTGTCCAGTAAACGGTCCCAGTCATCCCTGCGGGGTATGCGGAATCATGACAACGTCAAGCCGCGGCGTAAAGATGGGGACGATTGGCTTGCAGGATTGGACGACGACATATACGCGATTGATATAGAGATGATCGAGGAGAGGATGCTAGAAGAAGCCCAAGCCGAAAGTCGGCGCATCGCTGAAGAGGCTGTGCGACTTGCTGAGGCCGCGGACATCGCTCGGAGAGCGGAGGAGGCGAGACGTCAAGAAGAGGAGGCCACGAGGAAAGCAGCGGAGGCCGCGCGGAAAGCGGAGGAAGTCAGGCGAATGGAGGAGGAAGCCAGAAGAAAGGCCGAAGAAGCTATGAAGAAGGAAGAAGCTGCGAGGTTGAAGGAGGAGGAGATTCGCAGGAGGGAGGCGGAGGTCAGGCGCCGCGAGGAGGAGCTGAAACGTAAGGAGCAGCAAATGAGACAGGAGGAAATCCGTCTGCAGGAAGAGAAGATGAGGCTGACTGCTGAAAGGAAGAGACAGGATAGCCTGGGCTCTGACAGTGGCAGCCCCAGGGTTCCTTCCGCCAATTCTGGGCCATGGTCAAATCTCAACCGCAATGGATCCATCGGGAGTAATGCATCTGGAGATAGGACGAGCAAGGCTAGTTCGACGTGGTCCTCTTCTACCAACGCAAGCGGTAGCAGCGCACAATCTAACAGTACCAGCGCAACAAGTACTTCTGGGACCAGTTGGACCTCCACACCGCGTCCTAACCCATCTGCGGGCTCTGCTTCTGCGAGGACTTCCGCCGCCCCGAATGCTGGAAATTCATCTGCGAATGCGTGGGGCACTCCTCCTGCGGCCAAGCTGCCCAACGCCGGTACTTCTCCGTATTCGACGAATGCATTTTCTGAAGCGGAATGGGCTCGGCGGCAAGAAGAACAAGCACGGAAACAACAGGAACAATTTAGGAAGGAACAAGAACGATTGGAGAACGAGCGGCAGGCCAAGATGTCTAAGATCATGACCAAGGACGATGTAATCCAACTATTCGCGACACATGAACGGCAATGGAACCTCATCACGACTGCCGAGGAATTGGGCTGGTATAGTTTCCCGTGGCCGGTATTTAAGAAGCCTTCGGAGCCGGAAGATATCACGACGGTCGCAATCAGCGCCTACGTCCTCTCGCCTCATCACCAGTCGGACAAGTCGACCAAGGATCGTATCAAGGAGCACATCAGGAGGTGGCACCCTGATCGGTTCGAGACCAAGTACTTGCCGAAGGTCAGGGAAGACGAGCAAGACAAGGTGAAGGAGGGGGCTGGCGTCGTTGTTAGAGGGCTCAACGAACTCCTCACGCGGTCCAATATTAACAGTGCATTCTCTTGATACCGTCGGATCGTTTATTCAATGCATCAACTAACTGTAGTAACACTTGTACTGTATACCCTCATTCGTGTATGATTATGACCACTCACAATATAGCATAGCTTGCATGCGTGTACAACATTACCACTTTGTGATCATGAGGGCCGTACAGTGTGGCCTGGTCACCGGGCCGGAGTCCGCCTTCGGCCTTTATTTGACAAGAAGTTTCAAGAACCATGTTGGATCTACTTAGTGTCCCTTGTCGAGGCAATTAAACTCTTCCCCTGCGGAAGGGACCAGATAGCTGAAGTTCGGCGATTAGTAGTAGATGATGAAGCCAGGGTCTCTAGTGAGTACTCGCGGTAAGTCTTGTAGTTCGAGATTGATGTCAGGATTATTGAGTCACACACTGGCAGGCGGAGCCGCAACTGCTGCAATCACGAATTTCAAGCATCACGCACCAGATACTGCGGGTTTGGCTGGCATCAACCAGAGCCGAAGACCCAGAGTCGTCTCCGACCACTGACACTGGCATACGACTACTATAAATTGACATGTAAAGTCTTCGCTACCGCCAATTGCAATGCAACATGATTAAGTGTGTCTAATTTGATTCAGCCGGGCTCCAGGATCATTTACAACCTCTTCGCGACGGTGCAATAGCCAGCCTAAGGGCGGTGCTCATCGACGACGTTTCGGCTCGCGCCTGCCGGGCCAGAATAGCATCGATGTGAACCCCCCGGCACTGAACGAAGGAACCGATTATCTAGGAGTTGTATAGCATCTCGAAAGCATTTGCATATTGATCTTCCGGTCTAGATGTAGATCTGGCAACCTGTCTGTTTCTCCCCGTTCGCCGTCTCGTCACCCACCGAGTACTAGGGCAAAGTGCAGCCCGGGCGATCACTGCCGGCTCAAGCTTGTAGGCTTATCACAGTATCACTGCAGACTATCGGGATCCGGGATAACGCGACGTTGCTGGAGATGCAAGGCAAGCGCAAATCTCGTTCCTCGGGCACGATGCTCATATAGCCTGCGTCCGGGATGTACACACTCGTGAGACTTGGCATCGTTCAATAGAGCTCGAATACTCGGTCTCCCGTGCGTCTGCCACTTTGCCACTCAGCGTGGAGCCTGTCGTAGAACGTGACAAAAGGTGTGTTGACCCCTGCTGATAGTCTCGCCCCAAGCCATCGGAGGCTGCGTCTGGCCACTAGGTGTACACCAGCGGGTGGACTTTTACTAGAATTTGATCAGGGTGTACTGGATCCGTAAGTTGGCTTTGAAGATGGAGAGAAGGCCTCAGAATGCTGCGTGGGTGTACTGCTTGGGATTCGTTGCTTTGATTTTTCGTTCTTTATAGAGAAAAAGCTGTGACAGAAGACTTGCCACAATCCCACGTGAGTCATGATTTACCATGATAGGTAAGAGCCTTATTGATACCAACGCTTCCCGTCCGATTGGGCGATGTGACGCCGTCGAAGCCCTTCCGTAAGTTGGCGACCGTGCATTGTGGCGAGCATTGCCTCTGGCATGCTGCATCAAAAACTGTCTTTACTTGGCAACGACTCCCTTTCTTCGGGGTTGAGAGGGGTCAAAGAAGCGCAATCTCCGAGAACCAAATTCATGCCACTCGCGCTTTGGCCACACATCCAAGCGTGCCTTGTCTACATATGGGAATCGCAAGCCACTGATCAAGCGTTGATTACTGATGGTTGTGGCTTGCGCTTTGACTCCCGCCACATGTTACCGCGTATAAATTCGGGGCGCCTTGCCCCCATCCTATCCATCCACAAGAACACCCAGCGCGCTCCTACCTTGGATACTCGTCAGCTCTCTGGTATATATCATGTCAGCTCCACTCTTCTATGCTAGCCCCTCGCCAGAGCCCGCCGACGTTCCAAAGACAGTCCGCCTGCCTCGAACGGGTGGCGATGCGCGGGCAACGGCCAGGGGAATCTTTCGCGACGTCGACCCTCGGTCCCAAGAATATAAGCCTCGTCAAGCGCGTCGACCTCTACCCTCCCCGACCAGGCCCAACCCAGGCGCGGTTCTCTTTTGGCCGTCTCACAAGTCTCGCCCCAAGCCATCGGAGGCTGTGTCTGGCCACGCTTCACATAGACAGTCCTTCCACAAGCGACGGGAGGAAAAGCGTATAAAGGAGGTGCGATCACCCCGCAAGCAAATGAAAGTCCCTACCGGAAAGGAGCTTGCCGCCACCGCTGCGCTTCTCGGTGAGAAGAAACCGCTTCCCGTATGCCGACCGAGTGTGGGCGACTGCCTGGACAACCACGAAAGCACTAGTGCTTTTGGTGAGCCGGTGCTTCTGACGCCGCAAAAGCGACGCGAGCGTCCCGCCTCGCCCATGAAGGTCGATAGCCCTACGAAGAGAACTGGTGTCTTTCCTACCTACGTGTGTTCAAGCACTGAGAAGAAAAGTGTCACGACGCCCGCGGCGAAATCAGACAAGCCTTTGACGATCAAGAAACCCTTCTTTTCGGTAGTAGAGACGAGTGCAAACTACCGAGTGAGCCCGCACTAGCTCCGGCAACTACTGGACCCCAGTCTTTTGTAGATCTCCTCATTGCATGTCCCTCATGTTCCTCCACCCTTTTGCAATTGTGTATCACATTCCGCACCTCTTGTCTTGAAGGCTTCTACACTCCTTTGACCGCTGTATACTGTATCTAACTCATTCACCCTGGCAATCATTCCCCACACTCTTTATACTACTCTCCGTGCCTTTCGTGTTGGTGATCTACCGGATCCAAGAACCCTTTCCCATGGTCTTCCAAGGAAGCGGCAAAGCACAGTATTGCGTAAACCTAACCCTACCGAGCCCGTGATAGTAAGGGAATTTGTACCGGTTGGACGATCAGATCTAGATCTAACAGCTGCCGTGTACCGAGCATTCGACGACGTCGCAGACAGCTGTTCTCAATGCTCGTTATGCGGTTCTGCTTGACGCGCGTAAGAGCTGTTTTTGTTTCGTGTTACCACGCAGTCGGATGAAACGTGTTCACAAGTACTACACGAGGCGCAACCACCACCATTGTCCATTGTCTCCGACCGTTCTGACTCCTGCTGTACATTTTCCCTTCTCGTTGCTCGTGTTATTCCTTCCTTCTGCCCTGAGCCTTCAGACACTGACTACACTGTCCAGTGCGCTGGTTCCCGCTGCTGTTTATGGCCAGCTCCTCTGCCAGATCTGCCTACGCCTCCGCTAGACACCCCGACGTGCGCTCGGATAACTTGGAGCCCTCGGAACCCCAGCTAGATACAGAATGGATTGAGGAACTGCGGATGCGGATCAAGGAGGCTAAGGCGAGCATGGTTGCAGAAGCCGAGAGGACACTGCAGGATAGGCGAATGGAAGGCTCGGAGGATGAGGTGGCTTGGAACCGGCTCGCCGAAGAGCATGAGCGTTCGCTGAAGAATATTGAGGAGCTTATGCTTGCGCAATATCATGAAGAAATCAACCGGGAAAGACAAGAACGCCGATGGGCTGCTGGCATTCAGGTCGATTCGGAATGGTCCGAAGCATTAATCAAGGAGCAGCAAGCAATCTTGAACACTATCCGGAAGAGCAAGGAAGGCGAACAGGAGGAAACGAGCAGCGAGAATGTAGCAGGTCTCTCCAAATCCTTTGCTTCGACTCGCATCAGCGGGACGTGGAGAGCTCCTAATGTTGAATCTGGACAACACTCAGCAAGACCTTCGTCCCCGTTACACTATCGCGTGAGGAACGTCGTAGGTGAGTGAGCGGTAGTGCGATATCAGATAGTGACTAAATGTCACTGTCCTCGATCCATAGGTGAATACCCTTCCCCGTCAATCTCCACGCCTGCCGCACTTCCGGGCCCATCAAGCCTCCCAAACGCAAACACAACTGGTCGCGTTGTGCCTCTAGGAAGCTCCCGAAGCGGGCAGCATGCAGTTCTGAGTGATGAAAGCCAGTCAAGATCGAACTCACCCAGGATATTTTATGCAGGGCATGAGATCTGGAGACCGCCGATGTCCCCAGTCGACCGGGCGATGACACCTGGCGGACGTTCCCAACAATCAACGATGAGAGCAACGCCACCATCGTCTAGTAGCCACTGGTACCAGGATTCAGGGAGATATACTGCCCAGGGGTACCGATCGTCGACTCCTTCTACAGGGCCGGTCGTACATAGTCCTAGATCGAGTGGTGTATCTGACTCGCTCCGGGGGAGGTCTCTGCCGCATATTCTATCTGCCCCTGTAAGCCACAAAGCAACTATGAGAGGGAAGCGTTCCAGCGCAAAGGATTCACCCTTTGGGCGGCACGAGAGTCCCGAGACCTACAGTGGGCAGGTGCCGGCGAGGAATTCGCTGAGCAGGGGCGCAAGTTTTCCCAGCTCGCAAACACTGGAAGAAAGGCGGTCTGGTTGCTCGGGGAGTTCTGCTGACCATTCGCCTCCGGGAACACCTGTCAATCACGAAATATGGTATCCTCAGCCAGAGTCGGCCGCTAGACCTTTGGCGAAGCTGTCCTCACACTATGACGCCTCACAGAAAGCACCGAATATGGGCCCATCAGGGGTGATGGCGCCCCTCATATCCTCTTCACTGTGCCGGGAATATCAATTGGATACCCGCAGTTCCAGTTGCCCTCCCGACGACGTCTCCCGAGTTCGGCGGCTACCAGAAGTGCAAGGTCCGCGCTCTGCAGGGATATCTCAACCACCGATTGATCGCTCAGAGCGTCCCTTCGATACGAGGAGCAGACCAATCCCGATCCCGCGACCACGGGCACCAGTTCAATGGCAAGACGGCGCGAAGAATAGTAGTCCCGTGTATCATGCCCGACCTGTCCCAAGACGGTACGTCGACATCATACCCCCCTATGATTCGGACGAGTACAGCACGCATCGAGAACGGGAAGCATCCTAGGACGCCATAGCTGTTTCTTTCACGGACGGAGATCTGTATAGGTGATAGTCTGAAGTTTTAGACTTCTATCGTTGAAAGGCATTGCACTCATCAGAGAACGATAAACGGTCAAGGACGGATTGTCGTCTTCGCCGGACTTCCTGCTCTAGGTACAGCTCCTCTTCGTTTTCAGTCAGGGACTTTCCGGCTTCTGGGATCCATCCGTGCACTAAGCGCAATGCATGTTCATAATATTTCGGCCTGTCCTCGCACTGCGACTACCTCAGACAATACAGAACCACCGATGACGCTTGGATTTCAGTAGCTGATCTCGGGTCGTGGCACGCCACACCCTTGATCAATTCAGATCAAAATCTACTATTCATACAAGACATCAGCGAACTGTATTTCGGTTGAAAGACAAACTTATCAGCGACGTGTCCACCAGTTACCTTGGCAGAAGTTCCCCGAACGCGCAGACGATACAGTCGCACCGCAAACAAGCACTCTCAAGTGAGCCCCTGGCGCTTGACGCATCCTGCGATGTGGTTTCAAGCGTGGTCCCAATCTGGATCGTACGCATCGACGCCTGTGCTTCAATCGCCGACCCAGTGTGGCTGGATTTGCTTGTGGCTACGGTTCGCGATCACGTGGTTTCGCGGTTTAAAATCAGGTCGTCGCGTCCTTTCCCTTTCCCTCCCCACCTACCAATCTCGCATTCCCGTTTCCACTCACAGCTGCGCTGGTCCGCCTATCCAACATCATCAACTCATATCCCAATACCAATATTGATATCATGTATTCTTACCGTCACTCCGACCGCCGACCGCCTGTCTACCACAGATATGCGGATCCGAAGTCCAGTCCCCCGCGCACACCGCCGCGACAGCGTTCTACTTTCTACAACACGACATCCTACAGAGACCGCAGAAGCACGTCACCTCACACTCCTTCATCCGATAACAGACGGTCTCGACATGCCTACTACGATAGCTCCCCACGTCGAGGCCGGAGTGATGTATCTCGCCGTTCTCCGTCTTTGTCTCCTCTTGCCACTCGCGCGCGTTCGTACAGCAGCTATCAAACCCGGGAAAGGCATTCGCGATCCCGGTCGCCGACAATCAGGAGGGCTGACCAGGCGGACCGGTATGTGCCACCCACCAACGTCGACACCCCAGTCCGGCAGCTTCTCAGGCAGCTCGAGACTTCTATAAATCTTACCGCAGCGACCGAAAACTGCAACGAGCTGGACTATGCTACTCCTATGGCGAAAATGATGGAGCCAAGGCCATTTTCCGCACCGATCTCGGCCGCCCGGGGGGCGCCTGCAAGTCCGATTCTCCTTCCATCAAATCATGCTCCAGATTTGCCACCTGTCATGAGGCTATCTACTCCCACGATGTCCCCTAGTTCCAGCGATGTTCAGGCTCAAAGCCCCGAGCGTTTCGATAGATCGCCGGCCCCTTCGCCTTCCCCGCCCCCTATTTCTTGCAACGAGCAATGCGATGAGGGTTCTGTTGAAGAGGGGGAGTTTACACTCGCAGTCCACGAGGCGGAGCAGAAGCGGGATGGATTACGAGATCAAAATGTTCTCATATGGACGACTACTCAACTCAGAGTGCGAAGGGAAAGGAACATTCCGATGACCATACCCGGCGTTAGGTGGAAGCTCATGATGTTATCCACCATCCTACGGGCGCTGGAAGACGGGACCCTAGAAGCCCGGACCAAACAGGTGATGGACCGCGTTCATCAGCAGGTTTCTAGATGGTCAGCTCTTCGCGATCCCCGACGGAAGGGCCCGTTCTCCTACTTGCAGGATATGCCGTGGCCTTGCTTGGCAAACCCTGATGCCGAAACTATCTACGGTGACCCCTCGCTTCTAGTGGGGCATGTGATCCAGTATGTCTTGAACCCCTTCCGAACGGACACGATGGACTTGAGGCCATCCGAGAGATTTAGGCATGAGTTGATGATGTGGGAGATCCTACAGACGTCTGGAGGGCTGCTGGAGAAGTTTCCTGAGGAGCCGCCTTTCCACTGGCATCGTCTGGGGTTCGTTCTCGGTGTGCAACGTATCATCGATGTCCTGAACTTCTTCAGGAGCGCCCTCCCAGCCTTGGGCCTTGACTGACACTTCATCCTTTCTTATCGAATGATTGGGTCTCACTCTGGACGTGTCCTCGTGTCTCATGCGTACCGCAAGGATTACTTTCGCTCTCTTATATTTTCTCTGCCTTATCTTCACGCTCTTTTGACTGCTGTAGCTTGCGTAATATTCCCGACATGTACCTCTACGCTCTTTCACCTCGGACCATGCATCCCCCCCTCTGTGTAGCCTTGCAATGCTCGCGCTGTTATCCATCACGTTCTCTAATGCCAGTGCCAGATATCGTTCTTTTTCCTTCACGCTCCTTTGACTGCTGTAGCTTGCGTTATATTCCCGACGTGTATCTCTACGCTCTTTCACCTCGGACCATGCATCCCCCCTTCTGTGTAGCCTTGCAATGCTCGCGCTGTTATCCATCACCTTCTCTAATCCTGCCTATACGTCGTATCTTGTTTCTAATCATCTATTATTCGCTACTGTCGCGCTGAGTTTTGTGTACCTCCTTTGCGTACCTGATCATTCGGGCATTCAGCCTCGGATTGCCGCAACGGGACGCATTATTTAGAGGCTTGAGTACGCTTGTGAGTAAATGGAAGTCGGCATACGTACATGTAACACGGGTTGCAGAGTTCACGGAGTGCCTGGTGTGATGTCTTGTGTTCGCAAAGTGACAGATGACATCTGCTGCAGCGACTACTTCGAGTCGCGTACGATCGTGTTTCTAATTCGCGCTTTCTTTCACCGTGTCCCGTTCGATTACCCCACCTTCCCTTGGAAGACAGCTGCTAGTATCATGCTGCAGACGGTTGTACAGAAGTCATATTGATGGGCGAGGCGACAAGCATCGACTATGCCCCAGGAGTGTGTCGCCCCACGCACCTACATAATCTCAAGCATGGATATATCCCGTCACGAAGCTGGCCCGGGGAACGCAAGAATATCTTCCGGATACGTCTCAGTATGAATGCCTCTTTTAACGGCAGAAAAGATCAGTCTTCAGCCTGAAGTTCAAGAGCATCGCGATCTCAGTGGGTTAGCTTTCGGGATACGCCGGCTGTAAATGCTTCAGTGCCTCGTCCAATCAAAAGCGAAGACGGTGACTGATGTCGTCGTTCGCGGCTCTTCGCGCAGCAAAACAGTCCAAGCAGGTTAAATCGTTTGTAAAGCCTGTGCCACAAACATCGCAGGAACCCCAGGAAAGAAATTCATCTGCGACCCAGCCCGAAGCCCACGCCCTCAATGCGCCAGAAGCCCCGACGCCTGTTGCTGCAAATGGCTTATACGCGGCGTTGCCACCTTCTCTGTCCATCCAACGCACCACCGAGCGAGGGCGAGGTATATATACTACATCATATATAAAGCGCGGTATGACTGTCCTCCCTGTGCCCAAGCGATCAAGGCCTGATCTGTTCTACGTAGGCACGACGATTCTCACAGTCCCGCCACACGTGCACGCCCTCTCCACTCCTTCCCTGCCCGCGTACTGTTCCCGCTGTTCCGCTGCACGAGAGCTGAAAAGGTGTACCAAGTGCAGAGCCGTGTGGTACTGCAGTGCTGTGCGTTTTCCCCCTCGCCTCTATCTCCCCCATATACGTTGAGTTCCAGCCCTACTACAGTCATGTCAAAATGCGGACTGGTCTCTGCATAAACGCGAATGCCCATCTCTCATACGATGGGCTTCCTCTGCCCCGTCGTCATTACCCATACCGAGCGATGCCATCCGGTGTTTAGGCAGGACACTCTGGGAAATCGAGGCGAACGGGCTGACCAGCATATTCGTGCGTCACTCTCCGTGTTCACTCGCCTCTCACACTCATCTGTCATCTCCACACATATTGCCAGACACGTGAGATTGCATCCATGCAGTCTAGTAAGTCTTCCTCGCTTCTTGCCTTACACTACATGTATGGACCCTCACTCTACCCCGTGTCCAGACCGGCCACCGCCTACAGCAGCCACCCAGACCGAGACCCACGCCCACCTCGCTCATGCACTGGTCCGCTACCTCGGGGTCTCCTCCCCGGAAGAGTTAACGAAGTACGGCGTGCAAGGCGTCGGCGGGCTAGTCGACCTGGTAGCACGGGTGCGTTTTTCCTTCTCCGCCCTTTCATCAGTCAGTCAACTACCTTCGACGAATCATCGACAGTTCACGACAAACGCGATTACCCTCACTACGCCCTCCCTCTCGCCCATCGGCGTTATCATCTCCCCGCTTGCGGCGCTGTTCAACCACTCATGTGCGCCGAACGCCGTCATTGTCTTCCCCACGCACGGCTCTTCCTCAGTCAACATACGAGTCGTAACCCTGCGGGACTTACACCCAGGTGAAGAGGTAGGCAATGTCGCTCAATGCTGAATTTGACTGTGTGTTGAAGTGTGCGATTGTCCGCTATACGTGTAGGTTCTGACGGCGTACGTGGATACGACGCTCCCACGGAGGGAGAGGCAGCAAGCGCTCAGGGAGACGTATAATTTCACTTGCACTTGCGAATTATGTGTCTCAGAGGAGAAGGAGGGAGGGGAGGTAGACCCGCGAGAGGCGGTCTTGTGTCCCCGCGCCGGGTGCGGCGGAGTATGGCGAGGTGAGCGCCATAACGTCGTAGCAAGAAGATTACATGTCGTTAAGAATTGGTTTTCTTGTAGTCCCTGAACAAGGACCAAGCGACGACGACATGGAGGTTGACTCCTCAGTTGCCAATGGCAGCCAAGCCGCGGCCCAAGTGACGAGCAGATGCACAAAGTGCAAGCACCTTATCAATCCAGTAAAGCTACATGAAGTGAGCGACGCCGTCAGACTCGGCCTCGAAGGCTACGGCGAGGCTGTGAGAGTGCAAAACGAAGGTTAATGACTCATGTTCTGTGTTCTCCCCTGCATTCCCTGACTATATTCCGTCTCAAGATCCAGCGCGCGCGTACAAGTTGACGAAGAACCTCGCTCCGCTGCTAGCAGGTGCGGGCCTCGCGCCGTCATCTCACCCGCTGCTCGGGCTGCTACGACTGTACCAGCAGTTCGAGTTGGACAGACTCGGGCAAGCCCTAAACGAGATCGGGGGAGGACGGTCATCCGAGAGCAATGTAGAGGTAATGTGGATATACGCCTCGACGCAGACATGTCCGCCTGACTTCAGGTTGTATCACAGGAACTGAGAACACCGGGGGCAGAGAAAACCCTGGGTGAGGAAGAGAAAGCGCACGCGAAGGAGGCGCAGGAGATCCTGGACGACGTGGTCCGAACGCAAGCACGCATTGTCCGCGGCTTGAGCGACATCCTGGTCGAGGGCCACCCCGTGCGGGCAGTCGCCCTCGCTGAGCTCGGGAAAGCTCTCAGCGTGGACGAACCGTGGCCGGAGGTCCCGCCCTCCCCCACTACAGGCTCCTTCCCGCCTCACCTCGCGCCGCGGCTGCAGCTAGCGCTCCAAACGCTCCTGCGGTCAAAGCGAGAGCTTGAGATTGGTTTCGGTGGGGATGGAGGCGAAGTCGGGAGAGATGTGGGGGAGATGATGAGGAGGGTCGAGGGTGAGCTTAGCGTGTGGAGGGAAGGAGTGCGGAGTGGTGGTGGGAGGTGACAGAATCAGTCAGTGTCAATGTGGTTAGCCGCGTCAGTGCTTCGAGATGTACCCTTTGCTGATCGTCAGATGTCTCGGCATAATGATTTTAGGATCGCCGCATGCTGTATTGGCACAGCTGATGAGCGGTGTCTGACACCAGATGCACACCTCGAAAGCTTTGCACGCAGGTCCGCAAACGGAGTCGTCTGTCCTTGCGTCTTTATGTTCTACTCGCACCAATGTATGGCAATGCTGATCTGTTTGAAATGCTGAATTAATTCACCATACTTGAGTCGTGTCTTGGTCCCGTCCTGCGTTGACCGGCCGTCGCAGACTCCCGGGGATCTGATTGGCGGTCTGGAGGGTGGCTGTGCCGTCTAAAGAGACCGTTGATTGGCTGGGGACCTTCCTGATGCGCCATCAGCCACGCCCCGACGTGTCGAGCCCGGGACTCCACCGCTAGCCACTGCCGCACCAGCATCCCGCTTTGTGTACGCAGGTATGTCTCACGATCCACCCAACTGATCCCTTCGCATAGCCTCTGTCTGCGGAAATCTCGCGAACCGCATAAATGAACGTTCTGGTAGATACTACGGTCGTGCAAACGCGTTGGACGTCGCGTATTATTGATTCCATCAACCGTCCTGCATGTCGCGTACCTCCCTTCGCTGACCCACCCGCTGTACGTATAAACTAATGCTGGTCGCACGATTCATAAAGCTCCTGCCCGAGCCCTCACCGTCATAATCTCTCTCCTTTCTCTCTTTATATCCGTGCACCGCTACGCTATATACCACCTTCGTTTAATTGCCCTTGGTTTAATCCCTAATACCTTTCCCAACACCTACAATGCCCGCTCTTTCCCTCTCCGTGTCTTCCGCACCGCCCAAATCCCAGCATGTCGTGCTTGAAAGACCACGAAGCAAGAGCTCCTCAAGCTCGCCCTCGCTCTTCTCGCTGCCTGCACCACTTATCCCTATCCCGTTGGCTTTTCCGCTTCCAGTCCCAATTCTCTCTCCATCCGTTCCGCGAGGTCGCCGACCTCACACGGCTCCCAACCTCAACGAACCCGGCATGCAGACGACGCCCTCCCCGCTGACCAAAAAGCCAATCCTCCCTCACCTCATGGTTCCAACTGAGCACTCAGATCAATGGCCCCCGACGCCACCGCTAAGCCCCCCATCCACCTCCACCCGCAACGCCCTGCGTCTATTCGCTGGTCCAGGCGGCATGCAGCGCGTACGTGCACGACTCGCTCGGTCCAGGAGCCGCAGGCACTCCCCGCGTAGCCCCGTCGCCGGCGGCGAAAGGGGAAGAGAAATCAAGGAGAGGTGGGACGAAGAAGACAGAAGGCTGAAGCAGGCGTTGCTGCTTGAGCAACTCACTGGCACCCGCCCGGCCCCCAAGCCTAGTCGCTGGGCCGACAAGGACTACCTTACACTGCGTGCGGGGCTACACCCTGACGCGGTTCAGGCAGCGGCTAGGCCCGCCCGCAACGATAGGATCGAAAACTGGCGCCGGTCGGTGGCGATGGCGGTGCCGGAGGGTGAATTTGTGGAGAGTCCGCAGGGGCAGGGTAATTCTTCCGAGGACGACCTCCGCAGAATTGTTTCCAGCGTCACGAGAAGCCTTTCAAGCATGTCGTTCTACGTACCTCCGAGTCCTCCCAAGCGGCCGTTGCCTGTGCGCCCGGACCAGCGGAGTCGCACTCCCAGTTCGGATTCGGATTCGAAGACCGAGTGTACGAGTACGCTCTTGGACCGGCATGCCCAAGCGTGTATCGACGCCTACCGTGCCCTCACATCTTAAACTCTTTGCGGCACACATACCTAGACCTCATATTTATTGGCGGCTCAATTGCGACATCGACGAGAAATACTCGTCCAAGCATCACTTAACTTATTGGTCCTGATATTCGTATATTGTACATGTCTTGTAAACAGCAGTAGACCCACAGATAGACCAACACGATACCGGACAGGATCCGAAGCGCCTTGTCTAGATATCCCACAACGGTCGGAGTAACCTGACTGAAGGTTCATTGCTCGGAGTATCAGGTAGTTGTACTTCTGCTGAGAGAGGCTGAGTACCCTGTAACCGACGTCGAGGAAGGTGGAGGCTGACATGGTTGCCAAAATATGGAGGACGGCTTAGAGGCCCAGGATGACATTCTGTGCAATGAAATTGGAAAAAGTCTCCTTAAGAACAAGTGGTGGACACGTACACGTCATCAACAATTCATACCCCTTTCCCTCCTTTCTCAAGAGCCCTTGGACGATCTTCATTCCCTCCATTACCTTCTCCTCCTCCAACCTGCGACCAACGATCTGTACTCCAATCGGTAGTCCATGCATCTTCTCGGGATCATAGTGTTTGTACGCGCCCCGCTCGATGGTATTGGTCGCTTTGAACAACTTGTCTAACGCGTCTAGCTCGCGATCGACGTGCGTCACTGGAAGGACGCCCGCGGAGTAATCGAGCTAAATCGAGTACGAAGTTAGGGACGACTGGCTGCCGGACAGTGGTGATACACTCACCATATTGAACAGAAAGGCATACAAACAATTCGTAAACGCATCCTTCATGGCCCCATGCGGTATTGCCGGCATCGCGTTTGGACAAGTCAACACAAAGTCGACCCCCGTCTCCTGCCACATCGTGAACCACCGCGCCCGATACTCCTCTCGCTGAGCCACAAGCCTGAAATACTCTTGTGCGGATTTCGGACCCCAGCCTTCTATAAGCCCGGCATAGGTCTCGTCGCCGCGGAGGTAGCGGAGGTACCAAGCGTACATGCGCTTGACGAACGCGGGCGTGGAGTACATGCCATTCGCCTGAACCATACCGGGGTCGTTGGATTCTCCGGTGAGAAGGATATTGTCAGTTTGGCGTACTATGGGGCGGCATGGGCGAGCTGTAAGAAGAAGGAGAGTCTGAGCTGCTTCGCTTACATTCGTCTGCGAGAAGCTGAGATGCGATCTTGAAACCCTCATAAGGTGATGGGGGATTTCTGCCGTGGCAGTTAGCTTGCTTCCATGAATCGATGCCCCGATGAGTAGTACCCACAATGTTACAATATCATAGCCGTATTGCTTGAGCACCGACACAACATCTGTCAGGGCGCGGCTACAAGCCGGAGAAGGTGTGACTACACCTGGACTTCACTTCAATGCTGCACATTCCTGCGAGATGCACCGAGTACCTACCATCAGTCCACATTACGCCCCACTTGAGTCTTTTAGCAGAGAGATCGACCGTCCTCCAAGGCATTTTTATCACCTGTTGACGAACAAATCGCATGAATTCATGATGGTTGAACGATGTCGAGGGAAGCTCACAGTATGGTCGTAATTCCAGGGTTCCATAGCCATGACACCTTTCCAGAATGTTTCAAGATCTTCCAGCGTTCTAGCCATAGGAGAGTGCACATACAGCACCCCCTCCTGTCCTCCATGATTGTTTGCGTCCCCTCGGCTGATGAACCGAGTCGTGGACGCTTTTATTGTGTACGTCCCTGAATAATGTGAGGGCACTCGAACCGAGCCTGCACCGTCAGTGCCTATGCCGATACGGGAGCCACCATACGCCAAGAGCGCAGCCTCCCCGCCGCTCGACCCTCCTGGTGAGTATCCCTTCTTGTGGGGATTCTCCGTAGTACCTATCACATCAGAACTACACTCGTAAGACATGAGTGTGATCGGCACAGTGGTCTTGACAAACGGTACCGCCCCGGCATCGACCAGCAGCTTGACGATAGCTGAGTTCTCTGTCGCGGGCTTGCCAACAAGGGCAGCGAATCCTAGGCAGGAATCATAGCCCTCCACGTTCACCATGTCCTTCAAGCTGACCGGGATTCCGGCTAGAGGACCCTGAGTATTGCATTGCTCCGCCCATATCTCAGCTTTGGGAATGAGGACCTCGGCGATGCAATTCAATGATTCTTGGGCTTTGATAGCCTTCTTTCCGTATGCTAGGAGCACCTCCTTGGGAGTTAAGCGTCCGGCCTTGATGTCGTCGATAGTGTCGCTGACGGGTTGTTCAAGGATAGAGACATCGTTGGTGTCGAGCGGGAGGCGGTACTCCGGCGTCAGGCTTTGTATTTGGGACTGTCGATCGTTACGCTTCTTCCAGCTATGACAGGTGAGAAATGTGGTGGGCAGTATTCACACGCGACACGTACCAAGCCAGTCGGTATTGAAGGTATGAAAGCAGCATTCCGGGGCGTGAATGTGCTATAATGTTCAAACCTGGTATATATGCCAGTTCGCATGGTAGGGCGGCATCCCTCCGGGAATCCGTAAGAACACATCACTGCTGTTATCATGAGTGCAATAGAATTCATTTGTGTTCGGCGAGGGTATCTCGTTGCTTACGTGTGATAGGATGGTTTCGCTAACAGACGCCCCGGATAACGGGAGGGTGCGAACCGGTGGCAAATCGGAAACAGGAACGAATCGTCCTAATCTATGCGAGGGGGAAACTTACAGTTGCCTTCTCATCTGCAGAGAAGCGTGCACTTGAAGAAAACTGAATGTCACGTCAGACGCTTGATACGTTGCAATAGCCGCGGCATATAGATTGCATGAATAGATAACTAACAGCATGCGGCATGTTGTAAATGAATATCGCCGACCATTTCGCAGGAGATAACGCACCTTTACAGAATACTGCCTTCCAGGAAGAAGCGGGCGAAGCTAGGTGCAAAGTAAGGAAGTAATACTCCACACTACAATAGCTGGTCGGTTGTTCTGTCAAAGGGATGGGGAGTATAGAGGAATACAAGTCCCATTGCGGACATGGTCCGTCCACGGAATATATACTCGAAACCAGGGAATGGCTGCCGAACCTAGTCATCGTTGTGGACTCAGGGGTCCATTATCCCTGCGGCATTCCTGCGCAAACAGATTTTAAGCTATGAATTGAATTTGACGCCCTCAGTGGGGTGAGGGAGACGTACATGTTCGCAGCAACTCATATCCTTTATCGTCCTTCCGTAACACCCGTCTATGATCTTCATCCCTTCCATCACTTTCTCCTCCTCAAACCTACGTCCGACGACCTGCACGCCGATGGGCAGTCCATGCATCTTATCTGCATCGTAATTCTTGTATGCACGTTCAATTGCGTTCATAGCCACGAAAGACTTATCCAAAGCATCCAACTCGCAGTCGACGTGAGTGACGGGCATAACGCCTGCGGCATAGTCAAGCTAAGCAAGTCCATGATTAGTATCTTGGCAATGCAAAGTAGCATATCCTCACCAAATCAAACAAAAAATGCGTACAAACAATCTGTGAACGCATCTTTCATCCCGCCGTGAGGGACAGCAGGCATCGCAATGGGGCATGTAAAGACAAAGTCCACCCCCGTTTCTTGCCACATGTCGAACCATTGTGTTCGGTACTGATCACGCCGTGCGACGAGCCCGAACTATTCATACAATCTTCGGTCCCCAGCCCTCCACTAAGCCAGCATAGATGTCGTCGCCCGCAAAGTAACGAAGATACCATGAATACAGGCGCTCAGGCATAGAAAGCATTGCACTGGCCCGCGTCATGCCGGGGTCATCGGGTTCTCTGTAAGTCTGAGGCTCTCAACTCCTCTCACTGTGGGCTAAAATAAGTATAACGTGCAGATACTACGGCAGCCTTACGTTCGTCTGTGAGAGGCTGCGACGCGATCTTGAAACCTTCATAAGGCGACGGGGGGGTTGCTATTGTGACAGTCAGCCTATATCCGAACGGAAGACTATACGGACAGACAGTGTTACGACGTCGTATCCATATGTTCGAGGACTGAGACTACCTCTCTCAGAGCACGCGCACATGCAGGAGAAGGTGTGACTACACCTGTACACGGTATGAGCAAGAATTCAACCGGCCTAGCACTTGAAGGATTTACCGCCACTCCACATTACGCCCCACTTGGCCCTCTTCTCGGAAAGGCCGGCCTATCTCCAGGGCATGTTGATCACCTTCAGAAGTCAGGAATCAGACAGGGAACCCAGTGTCCTGAATGAGGAGTAGATATTAAGAGTCACCGTATGGTCATATTTCCATGGTTCCATAGCCATGATACCCTTCCAGCATGTCTCCAAATCTTCCAGCGTCCTGGCCATCGGAGAGTGGACATACGGTACTCCCTCCTAACCGCCATTGTTGTTCGCGGCGCCTCTATGGATGAATCGAGTCGTGGATGCCTTGATTGTATACACCCCTGAACAAGGCGCAGGTACCCGAACAGGTCCCGCGCCATCAGAACCTATACCGACACCAGAGCCACCGTACGCTAAAAGCGCGGCCTCTTCTCCGCTCGAACGTCATGGTCCATAGCCGTTCTTATGGGGTTCTCCATAGTCCCCAACATGTCGGAGGCGCACTCGTAAGACATGACCATGATGGGTACCGTAGTCTTGACGAGTGGTACAGCGCCCGCATCGACCAGCTGCTTGACGATAGCCGAGTCCTCGGGGGCGGTTTTGCCTACTAGTGCTGCAAATCCTAGACAGGAACCATAGCCCTCCACATTCACCATGTCCTTCAGGTTCACAGGAATACCGGCCAGAGGGCCCTTTGCATTGCACTACAGCGCCTAGACTTCAGCTTTTGGGATGACGACCTCAGCGATACATTTCAGTGATTCGTGGGCTTTCAGAGTTTTCTTCCCGTACGCGAGGAGCACATCCCGTGGGTTCAAGCGACCGCTTTGCACGTTGTTGATCGTCTTGCTCACGGGTTGTTCAAGGATCGATATATCATCTGGGCTGAGGGGATAGTGTATTCCGAGGGCAGGCTCTCAATTTGGGCTTGCCGGGCATCACGTTTTTTTCGAGCTAGAACAGGTGAGCTACGAAGTAGATACTATGCAAATACTTCACGTACCAAGCCCGTCGCTATTGTAGGTATGAGAAGAGTATACTGGATTAGATTCACTGGCGGTGACGTCCCGAATATCAGTCCTCATAGTGGATGGTTGTCATCCTGTTATTAACGACAACAGAGCATGGCTCTGGTCATCACTACGGAGTCGTATGAACGCAACCAATCTCGTTCCTTAGCCATGACAAGGTGACTTTCTTGACCTGGATGTCCCGGAACCGATACCAAACTCGAAGGTCCATTCTCTGCTCAGAATGGAGACTAAGCAGACAATTATGTGGCGCGCGGCAAATAGGGTCGTCTGCCTTGGAATACCCATCGAGGCAGAACACAATCGCTTGCAAAGGAGTTCAAAGCGGCATCAGGTTCGAACGCTCGGACGAGATAATCTTTGACAAAGAGAGATGCCGAATATCTTGACAGCACACTGCAAGTGAGCATACAGCTGTCAGTACTGTCTTACATCACGCACCTACGTAAAAACATATCCATGTTCCGGAAAGGACATCAGAGATAGAAAACACGCTAGAGTTGTAGGCATATGCAACTACCAAGGCTGTGGACGTCGGAAAATGTACCGGTGACGGTATTGACATCCGCAGAAGTCTTGAAACCGAATAATCTACGCAGTCTGATTAGTCGCGGCATCACCTTGAACGACTGAAACAGTCCTACGCAGGTCATCATATCGTCATCAGGTCCTCAGTGGTTTGTACGCCTTGTGATCCTGTCTAAGAAGATTCTCAACCAACTTTAGGCCCTCTAAAACTTTCTCTTCCTCGAATCGCCTGCCTACTACCTGGACGCCGATCGGCAGCCCGTGCATCTTGTCCGCGTCGTAATGCTTGTAGGCACCTTTCTCGACCACGTTCGAAGATCTAAAATCCTTCGGCAACGCGTCTAGATCCCGATCAATATGGGTCACTGGCATTACTCCAGCAGAGTAGTCGAGCTAGACAAATCCAATCAGATGAGCGCCAGCTCTAGACTAGGCGCGTGAACGGGCAGAACGCGCTTACCAGATTGAATACGAAAGTATAGGTACAGTTCGTGAAGGCGTCCTTCATGCCGCCCAATGGCACAGCAGGTAGCGGGTTGGGCACGGTGAGTATGAAGTCCAGGTTATTCTCATCCCAGAACTTGAACCACTGCGCCCGATACGCCTCGCGCCCGGTGACGAGAGCGTACAACTCATAGATCGAGTGGCTGCGCCAGCCCTCAACCAATCCCGCGTATATCTCGTCGCGCCGGATGTACCGGAGGTACCATACATACATGCGCTTCAGCCAGCACGGCAGGTCGTACATCTTCATGGCCGGGGTCATACCGGGATCGTTTGACTCGCCGGTGTAGATGTTGTGCTCGGACAGCTTGCCTGGGAGCGGAGGTTAGTAGCAGTTCGGCCATTAGCGCGGGAGCGTACAGGAATCTGCGACACATTGCGAAGCTATTTTGAAGCCTTCGTACGGGGACGGAGGGTTCCTGGATTAGGATCATTAGGCTGCTGACTGTGAGGTTAGACGAAACTTACACCGTAACTACTTCGTACCCGTGACTCTGGAGGGTGTTAACAACTGTTCGCAGAGCCCGTGCGCATGCGGGAGAAGGAGTAACAATCCCTATGCAGATGCCCTGTGAACAGATAGTCTCCTGGACAATGGTCCCAACTCACCGTCATGCCACATGACACCCCATTTGACTCTCTTGCCAGAGAGGTCAGCCTCGCGCCACGGGATTGGAATAACCTGGAAAACATCTAGCAAGGCACAGACTCAGAAATGGTATAAAGCAGACGTACATGATGATCATACCTCCACGGCTGCATACTTATGATAGCTCTCCATACCGTTTCCAAATCCCGTAAAGTCCTTGTGAGTGGCGCATAGGAGGATCCAGTAGCCTCTTGTCCAGGGTGATTGTTAGCATCTCCAGTCTTCGGGAACCGACCCACTGAAGGCTTGATTGTGTACACGCCTGAGTAATGAGCGGGGACACGCAGCGAACCAGCGCCATCAGACCCGATGCCGACGCGCGAGCCGCCGTAGGCAATCAAAGCTGCCTCGCCGCCACTAGACCCGCCAGCACTGTACCCCTTCTTGTGCGGGTTCTCGGTATGCCCCGTGATATCGGAGAAGGATTCGAAAGACATGAGAGTGATGGGGACGTTAGTCTTCACGAACGGGATGGCTCCGGCATCCTTCAGGAGCTTCACAATCGCTCCATCCTCTGTCGAGCGCTTGCCGACCCAGTCGGCGTAGCCTATGCAAGCGTCGTACCCTTTGACGTGTATGGTATCCTTCAAGCTGACTGGTACGCCAGCAAGGGGACCACTTGTGTTGCATTGCTTGGCGAGAGCCTCCGCATTAGGGATCATGATTTCGGTCAAACAGTTGGTAGCTTGATGTGCCTCCAATGCTTTCTTGCCGTACGCGACGACGACATCCTCGGGCAATAGCTTCCCCGATTTCACATTCTGAACCAAGTCAGCAATGGACAGGTCGAGAATCCATGCATCGTCTGAGGAGACGGGAGTATGATAGACAGATGGCAGGGACGCAATCTGAGTCTGACGCTCTTTCTGCTTGGTCCGGCTAGAACAGGTGAAGGCAGGCCCCCTAGTATGATATGCAAAGGACTTACTATGCGCGTAGGTAGGAAATGTACGAGAACAGCATTGCAGTCAGAACGACTTACAGACAGACAACCGAAGCTACAATATATAGCAGCAGAGGTGACGGACGTCAGCTTGCACATGGGAAGGGACCAGGAATACCGTATCCTCTCATTGCCAATAAGAGCAACTCAGGACTCAGTCCACTATATTCAGTGTAAGTGACAGCATCGCGAAACGGAAGGACGTTATCGTAGGTATGCCGAACGGCGAGGATGGTCCGATACGATTGAGTCCGGGAATAGAGCGAACGAGGAGAAGAATCCTCGAGTCTCGGAATGTACATCATGGGTGCCATTCCATGAAACTGAGTTGCCTAAGAGATCATCTGTGCTAGCAATAGATATAGCACTGGGTGAAAATGTGGAGCATCCTCTGAGACCATCTGGGAGTTCTTCGCAGCTTGTCAAAGTCGACGTCAAAAGCGTCCTTCGTCAAGAAGCCAACGACGTCGACAGGACATCGATGGCTTCAAGTGGACAATGCATCATTCGACGGGCCTTCAGCAAACATACGGTCGGATAGCGGCATCTGCGAAAGTTGAGTTTGTGGTTTCGGGACAGAGGGGGTGAGCCAGAGCCAGGCGCCGGCAGCCGACGCGTGCGAACGCAGAGGGCTGCTGCGGCTAAGTCCGACCTAAGCTTCTGAAGATTCAGCAAGCTCTCCTCGACAACCAAGTTACGACTATCGGGTCCGCTAGGTATGAAATTCAGTGGAGCAAGCACTCCCTCAAGTCATGCAGCCCACCGGTACAACAATAATATTTCGGAAACCTTCTGCGGCGGATTTACGCGACTCATCATGTGTGCAACAATGTGTAGGCCTTTCCTTCATCACGTAGAAGTCTTTCAATCAACTTCATACCCTCCAGCACTTGTTCTTCTTCCAGACGCCTTCCGACGATTTCGACACCAACTGGCAGTCCGTGCATCTTGTCCGCATTATAGTGCTTGTACGCACCCTTTTCAATCATATTACCTGCCTTGAAGCCTGGCTTCAACCCATCGAGGTCTCGATCAACATGGGTCACGGGCAGTACACCGGCGGTGTACTCCAGCTAAGGGAAGAGAGTCAGCAGGAGATTACATTCAAGCAAATAGTGTGACACCTACAACATTCCACAAGAAAGTATAGATGCAATTGGTGAATGCATCTCTCATACCTCCATGAGGCACAGCCGGCATTGCATTAGGTACCGTCAGGATGAAGTCAAGGCCCGTCTCCTGCCAGAAGTCGAACCACTTGGCGCGATACGCTTCCCGTCTTGCGACCGTAGCAAAGTGTTCCTGGGCGGTCTTCGGGTGCCAGTTTTCGACGACGTGAGCGTACAAGTCGTCCCCGCGGACATAACGCAAATAGAACCCATAGAGCCGCTTCACCCAACGTGGGAGGTCCCACATTGTCCTAGCTTGCGCCATTCCAGGATCGTTCGATTCGCCGGTCATGATATGCTCGAACGACATGGCACCTTGCGCGGGGTGTTATCGTGTGTATTTAGAGAGAGAGAGATACCGAGGCACGCTTACAAGAGTCCCCCACTAGCTGAGCACCAATCTCATACCCTTCATACGGCCGAGGCGGGTTTCTGGACGCGAGATATAAAGATTATAAAAGATAGCCATCAATCAAGGCTGGCATACATCGGAACCACCTGATACCCATTGTTTTGCAAGGTCTTCACGACGGTCTCTAATGCTCGTTTGCAGGCCGGCGATGGAGTGACGACACCTTCAAACTTATACATTAGGTTTGCCACGGGTAGGGTGGGTTTCTTTACCGTCGCTGAGCATCACGCCAAACTTGAGTTTTTTCTCCGATAGGTCGAATGCACGCCAAGGAAGCTCGACCACCTACACTCTCCGTCAGATTATCATGATTCAACTAGCACAGGTAAAACTGCGGTGACCCACATTGTGGTCGTATTCCCAGGGCTTCATGCTCATGATAGCTTTCCAGAAATACTCCAGGTCTTCCAGCGTCCTCGCCATGGGAGATGCAACCGCGCGCACACCCTCCTGGCCAGAAAAACTCTCTGCGGTATTATGCCCGATGAACCGCGTCGGGGAGCACTTCACCGTGTACGTCCCAGAATAATGAGAGGGCACCCGGACAGACCCCGCAATGTCCGTGCCGATACCTATACGAGATCCTCCATACGCCAGCAAGGACGCTTCCCCTCCGCTAGACCCTCCGGCTGAATACCCCTTCTTATGCGGGTTCTCCGTCTGCCCGAAGAGATCATTCCCAGCCTCGAAAGACATGAGTGTAATCGGGATATTCGTCTTCACGTACGGCACGGCACCAGCCCTCCTTAGTAGCGTGACGAGCGGGGAGTCCGCCTGCGCCCGTCTGCCGACCCATGACGCGTACCCGATGCACGAGTCGTACCCGGCCACATAGAACATGTCCTTCAGGCTCACCGGCATGCCAGCGAGCGGGCCCTGGCGGTTGCAGCCCTCCGCCCAGAGCTCGGCCTTGTCGATCATCACCTCCGTCAGGCATTTGTTCGCCGCCTGAGCTTTGAGCGCTTTCTTCCCATAGGCCACGAGCACGTCGGAGGGCGACAATTGCCCGGCCTGGACGTCGACGACGATCTCAGCGACGGGTCTCCCGAGGATGGTGGTGTCGATGGACGTCAGGGGGGCATGGTATTTCAAGGGAAGACTGTTGATTTGTTCCTGCTGCTCCTTCTGCTTCGTTGCGCTACGTGGTATAAAGTCAAGCTTTGAACAGATGGACTCTCGAAGCCAGCATACCGTGCACGACGATACAGGATGTACGAGAGCAACATGACGGCCTTGCGTGAGTAATATCTTATCTTGAGTTGACATTATAAAGACGAGCATTCCTGGGAGTTGAAGCAGGAGCCCGAGATAAGTGTGTATCGTGATGTACGATTCAATGACACTTACCTACAGCATCGTTGACAAGCAGTACTATGAATAGCGAGCGCGGGCGGCGTTCCGATAAGACGATAAGTTAGACAACCCATGACCTCCAATGCCTCCGGGGAGTGTAATAATCCAAGTGATTCTGCCCAATCTCCAAGTGTCAAAGCTGTTCACGGTGCGTGTGCCTTGGTCTTCCTTTCCCAAAATACAAGAACAATGGCCATCACCGAGCTTGCGAGCGCCGAGCGATTTCCAAGTTTTCAGGCAAAGAAGATGTCGGAATCGAAACTGAGTAAACGTCTCGCAGGTTTCACGGAGGGTCTCTTCATATACCTAGAAGGGCGATAATAAGGATGCTAGCCGCGACGAGGACTACGTGTGCAGCAACTCGTACTCCTTCCCGTCGTGAACCAAAAGCCGCTGGATCAGCTTCATACCCTCCATAACCTTCTCCTCCTGCAGCCGGCGCCCGACCATCTGCACGCCCACGGGCAGGCCGTGCATTTTCTCCGCGTCGTACAGCTTGTACGCGCCCGCTTCGATGACGTTGCGCGGTCTGAACTTCGGATCGAGGCTGTCCAGCTCCCTATCTACGCGCGTAACGGGCATCACGCCCGCCGGGTAATCCAGCTTCAATTGCGTTCACAACAATCAGCTTTGAGAACGCTGACCGCCCTTGGGTGACACTCACCAAATTAAATAAGAAACTATACAAGCAATTTGTAAACGCATCCCTCATCCCGCGATGCGGCACCGCGGGCATCGCATTCGGGCATGTCAGCACGAAATCGATGCCCGTCTCGTTCCAGAAGTCAAACCACCGCGCGCGGTACTCCTCGCGCTTCGCGACGAGAGCGAAGATCTCCTGCGCGCTCTTGCTGTGCCAGCCCTCGACGAGCCCCGCGTAGACGTCGTCGCGCCGGATGTAGCGCAGGTACCACGCGTAGATGCGTTTGAGCCAGCGCGGCAGACGGTAGAGCGCCATGGCTTGTTTCATGCCGGGGTCGTTGTTCTCCCAGGGCATCACCTTTCGGCAGGCGACTTCGCCTGTACGGGAGGGCCATTAGGAAGTGTTGCTTGTGTTTCGTTAGGCACTTACATGCATCAGCAATGAGGGCAGACGCGATTTTGAATCCCTCATAGGGAGAGGGAGGGTTGCTGTCAGGAGTCGTTAGTTATTTTGCAAAGTTGTGATCAATTTACGCACATAGGGACTACTTGATACCCATTGTCTCTGAGGCTAGATACCACATCCCGTAAGGCACGATGACACGCAGGAGATGGAGTGACAACGCCTGTCTGACCTCAGTATCTGGAGGACATTAACAGGAGCCGGGCGACTCACCATCCGTCCACATAACGCCGAACTTTACTTTCTTCTCCGGAAGTCGCACTTCCCGCCAGGGCAGCTCAATAACCTATCAACCCGTTAGTGGTGAATAGACTGAATCAGGATGAAACTTGTGGGCTTACGGTATGATCATACTTCCAAGGATTCATGCTCATGATAGCCTTCCAGAAGTACTCCAAATCATCTAACGTCCTCGCCATAGGCGAAAACACAGCCAGCACCCCCTCTTGCCCCGCATTGCTCGTAGACGTATCTCTCCGAATAAACCTCGTCGTCGACGACTTTATAGTATACACCCCCGAATAATGCGAGGGCACCCTCACGCTCCCTGCGACATCCGACCCAATCCCGATCCTGCTTCCTCCGTACGCAAGCAGCGCCGCTTCACCCCCAGTCGACCCGCCGGGCGAGTACCCCTTCTTGTGCGGGTTCTCCGCGACACCCAGCGCGTCCGACGCGCTCTCGTACGACAGCAGCGTGATCGGAATCTGCGTCTTCACGAACGGCACCGCGCCTGCATCCCTTAGCAGCCTCACGATCGCCGAGTCCCTCTCCGCCGGCTTGCCCACCCACGCCGCGTACCCCAGGCACGAGTCGTAGCCCCGCACGTTCACCATATCCTTCAGGCTCACCGGCATGCCCGCCAGGGGCCCCTTGCGGTTGCACTCCTCCGCCCACACCTGCGCGTCAGAGAGGAGGACCTCCGTCAGACAGTTCAGCTCTGCCTGTGCTTTCAGCGCCTTCTTGCCGTAGGCGGTCAGGACGTGCTGGGGGGAGAGCTTGCCGGTCTGGACCTGCGCGACGATGTCTGAGACGGGCTTGTCGAGGATGTTGACGTCGAATGGGGTGATGGGCGCGTGGTACTCGCTCGGGAGCGCGTCGATCTGCGCCTGCCTGTCCCTCTGCTTTTTCAGGCTATTCGGAGGTTCAGCGCAATCCACTGCGATATTGGATTGTACTCACCAAGCGCTCCGGTACGCCAAATACGACAGCAGCATATCCGTGTATCGTCGTGGTCGTTCGCTGAGTACTGACTACCGAGTGTCAGAGTACCCGTCCGACCCGTTGTTGGTCCGCAATTATAGAGCCCGCATACGCGTGCCACGAGTGCAAGCGAAGGCGTCCAACGTCATCGCGGGATGAAGATAAGAAACGGTTCCTCGAAAATCAAGCCAAGCTGTTATAGCTGGTTACGTTGCCCGATCATATAAAGACGTGGGAATTGTGGATGCCGGGACCGGCTTCACAGGCATGTTGCCCTTGAGGCGGGGTTTCGCGCCCTCGTCCATGTCAAGAAACTCGAGAGTACAACGTGAATGAAACGTTGTATTCGGGTTATAGACAATTGAAGTCGGTCCAACGGACCGTAACGTAATTTCCGGACATCTATCGTAGGGCCGATGTTTAACGAGGACGACCCTCGAATAGATTTACGGAGGGGTTTCCTGAATGTCGCCGGACAGGCTTCACAACGTATCCCACCCCGTGTCCCGCGTAACGCTCCCCCACTCCTCCATAAGCCCCTCCATCCTCCTCCCATGCTTCCTCACATCCTCCTCCGCGTCCTCCCCAATCACGAGGAACAGCGGCCACTTCTTCCCTTCCGCCTTGCCCTGCCCCTTCACCACGTCTACGAGCACCCGCATCGCCTTCTCGGGGTCGCCGATGTCCTCCCGCGTCCGCGCGCGCAGGTCCGCGAAGCGCGCTAGGACACGCTCGCGGACGGGGTCGTACATGGGGATGTGCGCACCTGGGTAGGGAGGTGCGGTGTGGATGCCCTCGGTGCGGAAGAGCCCCGGCGCGACGATCAGGACTTTGATGTTGAATCTGGCGACTTCGGCGGCGAGAGTTTCGCCGTATGCTAGTGGGCACGGAACTAAGGAGCATTATACACTAAATCTGAGGAATACTGACCGTGCACGGCCGCTTTGGAAGCGGCATAATGCCCTATACAAATCGATCAATATCTCGTTTCGTTTACACCCCCCATATTCTGCTTACCGACTCCCTATCAATCCATGTCACACGAGACCTTCGGGCGCAGTACTTTGGAACACTCACAGGAATATCAGCCTTCCAAGCTGACCTACTCCCAATAATCACGATCGTCCCGAAAGAGCGTTCCCGCATATGAGAAAGGACGGCTGTAGTCACCCTCACCACTCCAAAATAATTCGTGTCGAATTGGTGCATGGCACCCTCAGCTCTGAAGCCATTTTACATTAGTCACCCGTCATGAATAACGTAGAATCAGACCCAGCTCACCCAGCCTCTTCGAGAAGCCCAGGCATCGCGAAGCCAGCGTTATTCACCAGCACATCGATGCGTCCCCAGTCATTAATGGCATCTTGTACAGTGCAGTTTATAACGTCCTGGGCGGCCGTGACGTCGAGCTGCAGGCAGCGTAGCCGCACGGGGCTTTCGGGTCGCGCTTCGAGGTCCTTTAGTTTGTCTAGGGAACGCGCAGTTGCGATGACTCGGTCGCCCCGCACGAGGAGTTGGTCAACGAGGCGGCGACCGAAACCCGAGGTTGTCCCTATGTAAAATACATACAAGTTGTTCGCCGGTGAGAATTCGTTAGGTGCTTGCCATTCGTAGGATGAGTGCATACCTGTGATAAGCCAGACTTGCCCCTCGTCCGCCATCGTCTGGTTCGGTCACGACGGGACAAGAGAGACTGTTTCGGCCGGGGATATCATCGTATCGCCCTTGCGAGTAGTAGATACGAGATAGAAGACTGGGTATGGATGTCCCATGGGGAACGTGACCGTGAAGCTAGCTATAATGGTCAACGCAGAAAACCAACGGTCATATGCAGTCGGGCAAAAATTACAATGAAATAAACATACAGTGTCCGCGCTTTTACTCTTCGACTGTACTGTTGAAAACCCACTGTGGCGCTTTACCTGCGATTCCTGCCTGTTTGTGGCAGCAAAGTCAAGCACCGCAAAGCCACACGTAATTTGTCTTACGCCGACGGCCGTGACTGTGACACATTACAGTCCTGTATTGTGACACGCGATCTATTCTGGACCAGAGCTGTTTCTGGTGGTCTCCAGGCTTCGGCGAGAAAACACACGCCGCAAGCTCTCGCCGTCTCTCGCTGTTCCTTCGTCGTCGTCGTCGACTGCCGACTCTTTCTTTCGCGTCTCACGTTCCGTCTGTCGTTGCCGCGTCACTCGTAGTCGTCAATGGCACCACAACAGCAAGGCCAGCAGGGAGGAGGCCAGCAGGGAGGAGGTCAACAAGGCGGGCAGCAGGGCGGGCAGCAGGCAACACAACAACAGTCGCAATCCAACTCGCAATCCAACTCGCAGAGCAGCTCCTCTGTTCTGTCCATCCCCCAATCCGCGCCCGCCGGCGGCATCACCATCACCAAGCCCCCCCAAACCGCCACCTCCTACTTCAAGCTCGCTGAGAACAACCTCATCACGTTCGCCTGGAACTTCACCTACGTCCTCGCGACGCCGACGCACCTCACCGTCTCTGCCGTTGGCGAGAACGGCAACACCTACCCCGTTGGCCCGACAAACGGGATCATCCCCGGCACGGCCACGAGTGTCGTGTGGGACCCGTGGGCGTGGAACCAGATGCCCGGGGTGACGCCGCTCACGCAGGGGACATATACGCTCAACGTGTGGGACGACCGTGGCCCGGGGAGCGCGCGGCAGCCGGGGTTCATGGCGCCGAACAGCGCGCTGCAGTTTGCGCTGTACACCCCGCAGTCGTATACGCCGCTCAGTAGTGGTGAGTTTGGTTGTCTGCTCAGTGCATGCACAGATGTTGACTGAATGGAAGGTTGGCAATGCGTCGGATGTTCAGGGTCGTTATCGACGTACACCGCTCACCCTGCTTTCGCGGGGCTTATAACAACGCTCGTGATCATGTTCCTATCAGGTTACAGCCTAGTACGGCAGGCCATGCATTAGCTTCGCGTGCTAGGTGACCTGGACATCGGACATTGTATGCCTTCGAGGGCTGCACAGACGGAAGAGTCGGACAGAGCCTCTGCACTTCATGACATATCACGCGCTACGCTCCATCCCGCATCTCTTCTTTTTGCATCTCCTTTCGTTTGTTTTCACGAACTGCATGGACAGATCCAGACTCGAGGACTAATAGTTAGTAGGCTAGGCATTCTTTCTGCGCTGTGTGAGTAGTATAGTACTGTGCGTCGGTGGGTAATGGATAGCTGCGGCTTCGTGGCCGCAGGTTTGTCGGGGACTTTGCTAGGCTTGATCCTGCGCCTCTTAAAAAAGACTTAGTAGACGAGCAACTGTCTTTAATGGAGGCTTGTACCCGTTTAGTATCAGCGTCGCAGAAGTCCCCCCCAGGCTCTCGCGCGTGCTCAAAAAGGCAGGATTCTCCGCCCAAAACGGCAGGTGCACATGGTTGGCATCTGCCGGACCTCGGCACGTATATAGTCTCGACCTCTTCAACGCTTCCTCTACCCTACACCGAGGGTTATACTGCCTATAACGTATGCGCTGAATGCGCAAAAGCGCATAGAACCTCATCTACACAATTCCTTTAAAGTGGGGGGGTCGAGGCACTAAATGTGGCCCAGTAGAAGCCCTACTGGGATCAAAAAATCACGCTGAGAGAACTGTAGCTTTTCAGACTGTCTCCTACTTTCAATGGGGAGTCCCAAAGCTCAGTAGCTCCTCCTGGTACATTATCTACAGGATAAATTACAACGTACTAGGTTATATTACTGCGAGC